AAAAAAAAAAAAAAAAAAAAAAAAAAAAAAAAAAAGAAAAGAAAAGAGCCAACCCAGGGAGTGGTGTTTTGAAGGGTCTCATTAGAAAAATTTGTTTGTATTTAGATTTAAAAAAATTGATATAACATTTAAGATTCACCCTTTTAAACAATTTAGTAGTTTTTAGTATATTTACAGAGTTGTTCAATCATCACCATTACCTAATTACAGAACATTTTCATGATCTCCAAAAGAAACCACACACCCATTAGCAGTCATTCTCCATTCTCCCTTTCTTCTAGCCCTTGGCAACCACCAAATCACTTTATTTCTACAGATTTGCCAACTCTGGACATTTTATACAAATACATGGCTTTGTGTCTGACTTCTCTCACTCAGCATAACATTTAAGGTTTATCCGTGTTGTAGCTTTTACTTTAAGTTTAAATAAGACTACTAATAGCAGTTGAAAGAAACTAGTTTGGAACCACTATGAAATCCTTAAGATGATAATGAAAGCTGAAAAGACATTAGTGAGAACCCACACTTTTGGTTGTATACTAAAAAAGCTTACCGACTTACTTTTTAGAGGTAAAAACTATGTCAACCTATTCATTCTAAGGCCATTTCTCAGAATGTCTTTACATTTTAAGAAATGAGAATTTAAAGAAATAGTACACATTAACAGCTATGAAAAAATGATAGCTTCCAGTACGACTCGAAAAAAATTGAAAATAATGGATATTCACAATGATAAATGTAAGTCACAATTTAAAAAGAGAGCTCAGTTTATTCCACTGAAGAATACAGGAAAATGTTCAATATTCTTTGAGAAAGGGTCTCGCTCTGTCACCCAGGCTAGAATGCAGTGGCACGACCACGGCTCACTGCAGCCTCAAGCTCTTGGGCTCAAGTGGTCCTCCCATGTCAGCTCAGGATCCCTTGAGCCCAAGAGCTTGATGCTGCAGTGAGCCGTGGTCGTGCCACTGTACGACTGGGGCAATAGGCGCAGTCACTGTGCCTGGCTAACTTTTGTAGAGACGTGGTCTCACTATGCTGTCCAGGCTGGTTTCAAACCTGGACTCATGTAAACCAACTGCCTTGGCCTCCCAAAGCCTTGGGATTACAAGCATGCACCAAAGCATCCAGCCCCTCAAAACATTTTTCTTTTTTTTATGGATTTTCATTTTTAAGTTGAGTTTTAATATTTTAGGGGATAAGCTTCAGTCATCTAGAAAACTCAATGCATGTGTATGGAATATCTCTCATTTCCAGACAAACCGAGTATTATTTTAAGATACGAAAAGACTGAGAGATCCTTGAGGATAAGATTAGTGTTACTCATTTTGAGCCCACTTCCCTAGCACATGTAGCCAGAATTTTGTAAATACTTAGTAAATGATTATGACAAGGAATGATTTTGGAAAGAATGTGGGAATAATCCTGACAACTCAGTGATAAAATAAATCAAGAGTAACAATTAACAAAATATTGATGTTGTGATTACACAAAATTGAAGTCATAAAATATATAACTTTTGATAAATGCCTCAAATTTTTACTGAGTAGTTTTGACAAATATGAGAAAAGTGAGGATTAAATAATCAGCTGCAGTTTAGGTATGTCAAGACATAAAAATGTGTTTCAAGTAACTCAAAGCTTTTTCAAAATCTGTTTATTGATTTAAGAATCAGGCATTTCTGATTTATACCGGCAGGTAAAAGCAGAAATGAATTTTAAAAAATCAAGAAAAATAAATTATTTATGGCACACAAAAAGTCATTATACTTAAACATACACAATAAAACTAAGTAAACTACCTGCCTCTGACACCATTTTCTGTGAAGTAAGCAATGTAATTTTCTAAAGAATATAGCTGTTCTCCAAGCAGATGTCTATAGTTAAAAGAGCAATGAAAATAGACTATAATTCAAAAGTAAGAATATCAAAAATAAATAGAATCAAATTAAGAAAATGACACTTCAGGTTGTAATGGAAAGGGTCTTGGTAGCTATAATTATATAAGAGAATAACTTATTAAGATTTGTTATAACTGGAGATAGAAAAAGCTCCTCATATTAAATGATTAAAAAATCAAGGATTGTTTAATATTTGCTTTAAAAATTTTTTAATTAAAAAATGTTTTTTACAGACGGGATCTTACTATGTTGCCCATGATGGAGTGCAGCAGTTATTTGCAGGCACAATCACAGTACACTGCAGCTGAGCTTGAATGTCTGGGCTCAAGTAATCCTATCTCAGCTTCCCTAGTAGCTGAGACTATAGGTGAATGCCACTGCACTCAACTGAATATTTGCTTTTTATTTACTTTTTTAGAGACAGGATCTTGCTCTGTTTCCTAGACTGGAATGCAGTGGTGTGATTATAACTCATGGTAGCCTTGACCTCCTGGGCTCAAGTGATACACCTCAGCCTCCAGAGTAGGTGGTACTACAGGACCCACCACCATGCTCAGCTAATTTTTAAATTTTTAATAGAGATGAGGTCTTCCTATATTGCCTGAGGTGGTCTTGAACTCCTGGGCTCAAGTGATCCTCCCACCTTGGCCTCCCAAAGTGATGGAATTACAAGCGTGAGGCACTGCACCCAACCCTATTTGCTTTTTAAAAACACTCATGAAGTATATTTTTTCCCTTCCCATCTCCAGTTATAATAAGAGTAACTCTTAGTAAGTGGCAGGCATCAGGCTAAATGATCTCTTAGATGCATAATTTAATTCAAGATGAAAAAAAACCCCATAAATTTAAGAGGTTAAAAACAGCTTTGTCCAAGGTCACATAGCTAGGTGATAAAGCTGAGATCTGAACCCAGGTCTTTCTGAATCAAAAAGATTTTTTTTCTTTCTCACTATGTTTCAATAAGTATCTTTCATTAATGGGTGATCCAGAGAGAAAACATTAACTAGTTTCCTTGAATATTAGTTTCCAGCTCCGGTAGAGCTAAAGACCTGTGTAAAACAAAACAAAGCCACCTGATGAGATTGAAGTAACACAGGCACTTTCACTGGTGGGAGTGTAAACTAGTAAAACCTTTCTTTAAAGCACAATGGCAAGCTCTATCAAAATTTTAAAAGACACACGTTAATTAGTCCAGCAATGTGAGTACTAAGAATTTACAATAGGGCTATTACTACATCACAAAAGCACAAAAAATATTCTGCCCAGCTCTAAATTTGTAACAGACTAGAAACAATCACTAGCACTAGGAGTTCTGGTTAAGTAACAGTAGTAGTAGCAGTTATCTAACTCTTCATATAGCTACCACTTATTGAGTATTTAGCCTCATTAAGCAATGTTCTGGGTCTTCACATGTATTAACCAATTCTAATTATTATAATCATGTTCTGAAGGCAGATATAACCATCATTCTCATTTTACAGATTAAGATGTTTATGCTCTTAAAATATGATTTTATGAATACCCTAACAATAGGCAATTGTATATACAAAAGCCACTTACACAGTCCAGTGGACATGGATTATTGATAACATGCAAAAAGACTTTGATTTGTAAGCCCATTTGCAGGCTGTTGCATTTTTGTAATATATTTACTCACAGCACTTTATTTCATATGGTGAAATGTAGGAAAGTCTTAATAAAAATGGTCATGACTTGCAGGGAAAACATTTACTTACAGCTTTTAGTGAATTGGGGGTGTGCATACAGTTAAATAGATGATTTTGGTAGGGGGTATCCAATGCTGAGTTAGTTCATGTACCATTTAGTGATTCTTT